TTGGCTTGAATTCCAGGCTGTGGAGACAAATGGCTCAATAAGGCAAATGCAGGAAGACATCCTGCTTCCCTGGGGCCCTGCCTGGGTCCCAATCCCGGGGAACCCTCCTAGCGAGGCCTTTCAGCGAGGCACTGGCTTGGGGAGCTGCAGGTGAGTGTTCCTGTGGTGTGCAGTGCTCAGCTGAGGGCCATTTGAACTGGGTGGGGTGTTCTGGTTCATTGTCTGTTGTCCTGTGCTGTTAAACAGCTGCCATGCGGCAGGCCAGAAGGAGCTGCATTTCAGCAGTGCGGGAAGCGATTAGTGGGTTTGTGAGGTCACTGTATACATTAATACTCAGCACTTATCAAGGCCACAGATCTCACAGTGGGCAAGTATCGTTATTCCCATTTTACAGAGGGGGAAACTGAGGCACAAAGCAGGCAAGTGACAAAGGTCCCATGGCCAGGCTGTGGATAGAACATGACTCCCTGTGTGGCACCTATGCTGTGAGTGGGGCAGCTCGGGTGAGTAAGGCTTACAGGATCACGTCCGGTTTTCTCCAGGCTGGCTTTACGGGAACAAGCTTGGAGCTGCAGGGGCTTCTCAAAGTGGAGGCAAAATGTGGAGCAAAGCAACCTGCTCTGGAGGAGACTGAGGAGGAGACAGAGAACAGCCCGGCGCTGAGGGCCCAGGGGCCTTGCTGAATTAACTGAGCTTGGTGCAACCTCTCAGTGCTCTGCGCAATTCTGACAGCCTGACCGTGCCGGCACATGGGTCAGTAGACGGTATTTCAAGGTACAAGGCTTAGCGTGGATTGTCCCCAAGGCAGCAGCTTCTCCTGGCTCTTGATTGATATCCATAAATATTTAATGTCCAGAAGTTAGCATCAAGCCGTGACGCTGAGAGTTGGGCTCTGGCTGCTATGCGATCCTGGCATTCCCCAGCCTCAGCAACCGGGGCCGCCTCGGCCTCTGCAAAGCACCTCAGTACCGGGACTGGAAGGGCACCAGATAGACCGGCTGGCTCTGTGGAAATGGAAACATTGCGCTGGGTGTTAAACGTGTCGGAGCGTCTCCCCAAACAAGTTTGTTTCATATTCTGGTGCAGAGGCACATTGTCCCGAGTGACGTTTGGTGGGCGAGGAGTGGGGCAGGACGAGCAGGGTGGGGTTTGTGATTGGCAGGGTGATTGGGAAGGACGAGTCGGTTGGTGGTGGCAGGGGAAACCCAAGTGCAATGCACGTGCTGGACCGTTTACCTGACAACTCTGCCGATGCCCCTCACTCCTGACCTGCAGCCCTCCTGCTATTCCAGCTCTGGGCTCCCTAACTTCAAGTGCTGCCTGTGAGCACAAATCCTAACCCCGCTGCCCCCCATCCCACCTTCAATCCTGGGCTCCCCTCCCACCCAGCCAATACCTCTCAACACTGCAGAGATTTCTCGGACAGCCCAGAATGTGTCCCGTCATCGCCCTTCAGAAATGAGCCCGTGCCACCAGGGGCCTTCCCCAGTAAGGGGCTGCCCGGACCCTGGCTAGGGAATGGAGCATGCCTGGCCCCTCTTGCTTTGCCAGTACCCCTCAGCCCATGCCTGGCTCTGCTTCCGTCTGCTGTGCTCTGTGGCACATCAGGGATGGGGACAGATCTGCACAAAGGACCTGGTTGAAGTGACTGGATTAATTTCCCTCAAGGGCTGGTTTCTCCTCATCCGGTGCAGGGAGGAATCATCATAACTCTAAGGGCTGGCCTGGAGCCCTGGGGCCTGAGGGATGCTTCCCCTCAAGGGTGGGCTTGTCTGTTCCCTTGGTGTGTCCAACAGGGGGGCAGCTGCACGCTGCAGGCAGGGCTCCCGAAGCAGCTGGGCTGGTGCAGAAGGATGCTTGAGAGCACAAGCCCACCCTGGCCAGCCCCCACCCTCTCCCCATGTGCACCCGTCAGGGCAGCCTGCCCCGTGTTGCCCCAGGCCCCTGCCTGCTGCCCAGCTGGAGCGAGTCTGGGCCTGGATCTTCCACAAGCCAGGGGCACTCAGCCCTCACAGCAAGTCCCCTGGGTGAATAATGATCATTATTAGTAGCAGTCGGGTGTAAGGCGGCAGCTCCAGGGATCATCCAACAGCTCTTCTCAGCATCCAGATGTTGATCGCTTCCATTCGTCCCTGACATCAGGGGAAGCCAAGCTCCAAATCCCATCAGGTCTAGCCTGGCAAGGGGCAGCTGTGCACATCTGGAGATGGGGTCTGGAGCACACATCTGGCCCAGTAGGATCCAGTGGCCCTGTCTGTGTGGCACGTGGTTGGGATGGGGCCAGAGAGTGCAATGCAGGGAGCAGAGACAGGCCCCAGAGCGGGGCCCGGAAGGTCTCTACGGCCATTTCACCCTAAACACGCAGGTCAGTGTCAGGCTGTAGCCTCTGCCAGCTGGATCACGGGGTTTCAGGTAAAACAGTGGAGGGTATGAGGAGTGTCACGGAGTCCCTGGGCGATGCTCTGGAACTGCTCCCCATGAAGCCAGTCAGGACTCTGGGGCAGTCACCTTTCTGTGAGCAGCCTGTCTTCAGGACACGCAGCTCACTCAGCTTCCACCTTCCTGGGTCTGACCTCGGAGCATTCAGCATCCTCTGCCCCTCCGTGCGCTTCCCCCAGCGAGTCCGCTCAGGCGGGGCTCCTGGGGAAGCCAGAGGGTCCTGCACCCCAACTCCGCAGTCAGACGTGACTCTCCGCCAGCCAGTAAAACAGAAGGTTTATTAGACGACAGGAACATGGTCTAAAACAGAGCTTGCAGGTGCAGAGAACGGGACCCCTCAGCTGGGTCCATTTTGGGGGGCAGTGAGCCAGACAACCACGTCTGCACTTCACTCCATGTCCCAGCCAGCCCCAAACTGAAAACCCCCTCCAGCCCCTCCTCCTCTGGGCTTTGTTCCTTTCCCGGGCCAGGTGGTCACCTGATTCCTTTGTTCTCCAACCCTTTAGCTCTCACCTTGCAGGGGGGGAAGGGCCCAGGCCATTAGTTGCCAGGAAACAGGGTGTCGGCCATTCTCTGTGTCCAGACCCCTGCACACACCTGCCCTCTAGGGCTCTGCAATGATCATACACCCTTACTCCACCCCCTAGATACTTAAGAACTGCCTAGGGGAAACTGAGGCACCCCCACACTATTCAGAGGAAACATTAAGAACAGTCCCACTTCGTCACATCTCTCCCCCCTTCGAGATCGAACTGAGCGGGGTCACTTTAGCCGGTGACCTGGGGAAGTTCGAAGCCACCAGCGTTCCCATGGATGCCCCAGCATCTCTCCCATTCCTTGGTAGGAGTTACACCAGGCCCTTCCAGTTTCACGCCCTCCCTTAGGTCAGGGGTGGTCGATAGCACTCGCAGGCCGCATGTGGGAAGGTTTATGCAGCCCATGCCCTTTGGCCACCCCAAGAATGTCTCCCCATTGACCATCACCTTCTGCTCCCACTGGAGGTCCGGGGGGCCTGGCCCCAGGAAACTCCACACAGACATATAGGTTGGGGTCAGGAGTGGGAGCCTGTCCACATCCCCAACCATCTGGCTGACGGAGTCTATGGCCTTGGGACCCAGCAAGGGAGCTAGACACCGGGGCTTTTCCGCAGGGTCCCCTTGGTTCAAATCGCCAGCCTGCTCAAAGGCAGTGAGGTGGGCATCCACACCCCCACCCTCCTTAACCAGGGGCAGCAATTTAGTCTCGAGGTTCCCTGCGGAACTGGCCCCCCGGGATCTATCCCCACTCACCCCGGGGAGGTCCCCATGGCCTCTCCACCCCACCACCGCCAGTTCATGCTGCTGCTGCTTCTGCAGCTCTTTCTCGGGCTCTCGCTGTCTCCCACGGTCCTCTTGCTCTCTCAGACTCAGCTCCAATCCCGTCCGTCTCGATCCCCCGATGGGGAACCCGATCGTGAAGACCCTCGTCTGGTCGGGGACAGGAGTCTTGGCGATGCCTGGCTCCCACTCCAGCTGCTCCCAGATCCTGCTATAGCCCCATTTGGGGTCAGGAATCTGTTCCTTAGAGCGGTCATCCTCCTCCAGCTGCACGATTAACTCTGCTTTGGTGAACTTTCCAACGCTCAACCCTCTCTTTTTGCACAGGGTTACAATGTCCTTCTTAAGGAGACGGTGACAGGCCATCACTCCGCTCCTCCCAAGTTGTTGTGGACTCACAGGCCCGTGTGTTCTCAGCTCCCCACAGTTTCCAGGGAGAACCCCTAGTGTGCCAGCCCTTCTTGAGGTCACCACCTCTTTGCCAGGGTCGAGCTGCAGACTCCTCCGCCCCTTGGACTGCTCGCTGCAATCCCCAGGGGAACCCTGTTACTGCACAGTCCTTCTCGCTGGTCACACACTCCCAGGGGTTAACCGCCCCCCGAAACCGCTCCTCTCTGAGCCATCAGCAGGCCTGGTCCTCGGCAATCCCCCTTCGTGTTACTGCTCCCCAGTCACTTACTGCAGGAAGCACCATCCACGGGGTGTAGTACATCCCACCGCTGCCACCAGTTGTCACGGTGTCCCCGGGCGATGCTCTGGAACTGCTCCCTACGAAGCCAGGCAGGACTCTGGGGCAGTCACCTTTCTGTGAGCAGCCTGTCTTCAGGACACGCAGCTCACTCAGCTTCCACCTTCCTGGGTCTGACCTCGGAGCATTCAGCATCCTCTGCCCCTCCGTGCGCTTCCCCCAGCGAGTCCGCTCAGGCGGGGCTCCTGGGGAAGCCAGAGGGTCCTGCACCCCAACTCCGCAGTCAGACGTGACTCTCCGCCAGCCAGTAAAACAGAAGGTTTATTAGACGACAGGAACATGGTCTAAAACAGAGCTTGCAGGTGCAGAGAACGGGACCCCTCAGCTGGGTCCATTTTGGGGGGCAGTGAGCCAGACAACCACGTCTGCACTTCACTCCATGTCCCAGCCAGCCCCAAACTGAAAACCCCCTCCAGCCCCTCCTCCTCTGGGCTTTGTTCCTTTCCCGGGCCAGGTGGTCACCTGATTCCTTTGTTCTCCAACCCTTTAGCTCTCACCTTGCAGGGGGGGAAGGGCCCAGGCCATTAGTTGCCAGGAAACAGGGTGTCGGCCATTCTCTGTGTCCAGACCCCTGCACACACCTGCCCTCTAGGGCTCTGCAATGATCATACACCCTTACTCCACCCCCTAGATACTTAAGAACTGCCTAGGGGAAACTGAGGCACCCCCACACTATTCAGAGGAAACATTAAGAACAGTCCCACTTCGTCACAAGGAGTGAGCGGGTGAGGGGCAGCACTGGCTGCAGGGAAATGCAGCCCCGACTTTCCACACATCTCTGTGGTTGCTGCACCTCAGTCCGATCTTGCAGCTCCACCCCACCGTTCTCATTTAGTCCTCTCACACACAGCTCTGCCAGGGCCCCTGAGTCCTGCACCGCTGTGCAGCCCCCTTGTTCCCCAGTCTGCCCCCACCCTGCTTTGTCAATGCGCCGTACTCCAACATTGCCGCAGCTGTTCCAGCCCTGGCACCTCCCGTGTCGCCTGCCAAGCACGCCCAAGTGCTGTGCAGCAACCCCTCCCTTAGGGACTTGAATCGAGGGCTCAGCCCATTGTGACCTGCCAACCGAGGTGGTGTCTGGAGATGAGAGCCTGGTGCATTGACCCGCTGTACCCCTCTAGGCCCCACACTCCCCCACCCCCCCGTGCTGTGCCCGTGCCCTGTTGGCTCAAGTACCTTGGTGTTACTCTTCCCTACAGCTCGTTTCTTGCTTTGCCAGATCTGCCGGGGCTCCATCTGAGTTCCTCGGAGTGCGATCAGTGCTCGGTTCTTGTAACAGTTCCCGTGTCAAGGGGCTCGGCCGCAGGTTTGCGAAGCAGAGGAGGGGCTGGTTGTAGCTGGAAGCCGTCCGAGCAGTGCCTGGTTCAGATGCATTGGCCTTTTGGACTCTGCCTGCCGGCAGATCTCAAGGCAACGCTCGGCTGGGCTGGTGGGGGCAGCGGCAGGGCAGGGACCTGTCGGTGGGATTGGAAGGGGGGCTGGCACTCAAGGGCAGAATGGAGCAGGGGGGGAATAAAATGTGGACCCTGGAGAAAGCAGCAGCCCAGGAAGGTTTGCACCAGCGCATCCGGCTCTTCGGGGGAGGCGCCAGGGGCGTGACGGTATCAGAGTGTGTGGGGGGGAGCAGGTGGCATCCAGTCTCCTGTTCTCTGCCAGGGCTGTGTGTGCGCCCAGGGCTCGTCCTCATTCTGCCTGGCATCACTCGGCCGAGTGTCACCCTGTGGCATGTGGTTCAGGGGGGGTTGACATTCGGGTGACACCCAGGATGGGCCAGCTGGGTTCTTGTGCCTGTCCCTGCTCTCCCCCATCCCCGCCAGCCCCCAAAGTCCTTGTGCTCTGTGCCCATCGGAGGAGAGCTGATTGCCTGCTGCTGAGTGCAAAAGGGGCAGTGGGCGAACCACACGGTTAAACCACTGACCACTCCCAGCCCCGCCACGGTCAGTCCCCACTGTGGTTTCTAGTTTGTGGGGAGTGGCTCTGCAGGGAGAAGGGGGAAAGAACAGCAAAGAGCCCAGGAAGGAGACAAATTCTGCGTGGCTAAAACTCCACCTGCACTGATCAGACATCAGAACCGGAGCTAGTCTCATGCTTCAGGTGCCAGGCTGTTGGGTGGTGGGGGGTGAAACCTCAGGCTGTCAGGAAATCTGGTTCCGCAGCCTCCGCCTGTGTAATTCTGGGCGATGCGGCGTGCGGCCAGACAAGCCTGGCAGTGATTAATTACCTCTCCATGCTAACTGAGAGTCCTGGCATGGGAAAGCGTCAGAGGAGATGGAGCGTACGGCACTGGGAGCTGGGGCACGTGGCAGCCCAGCTGCACGGAGAATCTCCTGCTCTCTCCCAACCGTACGGAGACTGGTTAATTGCCCAGCCCGGATTGTAAGAAGGTCGGGAGATGGCAGGTGCTCCGTGGGCTGGGCCATGCCCTTCTTGCCAGCCGCGCACCCTGCAAATGGATCAGTGCTCAGCCGGGGACTCCTTCTGATTCCTCTTGCCCGCGGTGGTGCAGGAAAGTAGTCTTACTCAGTGGATTTATCCGTCAGGGCAGGAGGAAATGTACAGGCCCTAAGCTGGTCACCAATGCCTCACAGACTGGTGAGGAGCAGGGGAGCCCAGCGCACAGCCAGGCCTGGTGGACCGGATCTCCCCAGCGTGCAGTCTTGGCAGAGGGAGGAGGAGCCACCGGCGGGCTCCTGAGTCATGCGGCCTGCCTGAGGCAGCATGTCATTGGCCCTCCATGGTCACCGGCCTGCCAGGAGTTCACTGCCCCGCTCTCTTTGGGGTAACAAGTCGGTAACTGTCCCCTGCTCAGTGCTTCCATACGTGCCCCCTGCAGCGTGCGATGCCGGAGCCCTGGCTCGGGGATTCATTCTCTGCCCTCTTGCTCTTGTATTTCTCCTCTACAGGCTGCCCCCTCAGCCTTCCATCTTCCCCCAACTCTTCCGATCCCGAAGGCCAGCGACTGCCCCATGCCGGGGCCATGTCCTCGGAGTTCTTGCACCATGGTGGAGGTGGAAGAGTGCTGCTTCTCCTCTGCAACACAGCAGGGACGGGACTGCAAGCTGCCAGGTATGTCGCTTTGCCTCCATTATATGCTGGGGAATGTGCCTATCATGCAGTTCGGTGCACGCATTGTGCAGCCGGGAGTGCAAACCGGAGGGTGCAATTGCAAATTCATTATGGTTCAACGTGCACTTGCCCAAATCCACACGGAGAAGCTCCTGCTGGCTTCTCCGGGATCCATTGTGTTACCACGCTGGATGCCTCATGGCACCCGTCTCCTTGGGATGGAGCGGGCAAGCCATGGCCGAGTCGCTGAATCTCTTGTCTAGTGGTTAGAGCACTGTCCTGGGGCTCCAGAGACCTGGAGGGTGTGGGGGGTCTATTCCTGTCTCTGCCACTGGCCTACTGGGTGGACTTGGGTAAGTCACTTCACCTCTGTGTGCCTCAGTTTCCCCTTCTGTAATATGGGGATAATGCCACTGGCCTCCTTTGAGAGCGGCTGCTGACAATCATTATATAAGAGCTAGCTGCTGGGGTTGTTGTTGTTATTGTTATTATTATTAACGAAGCACCAGGAATGGTAGGTGCTTGATTGAACCTCTTGGGTCTGCAGAACTGATCTTGAAATCTTGTGCCAGTGAGCCCACTCCCTTTTGTCAGAGCCACTCCCCCCGCTTCTTGCACTTAAGCTGTTGCCCCGCGTAGCCCCCGTGGCTGGGCTGAGCTGGGTTGAGCTGCCAATGCTGAGAGGCAGGGGAAGCAGAACAGACAGGCTGCCTGCATGGGACAAGGAGCCTGGCTCAGGACAGGAACCACAGACTGCCCGAGGCCCTGGGCAGCAGGAGAGCATGCCAGGCCCTGGGTGGTGGGACTGCAGACCGGAAATGGGGGTCAGCATTGCCAGTCATTGCAGCTGGGACTTGTCTGGGGGGTGGAGGGCCAGATCAGTCTGATCGCCAAAGAAGAGAGTGGGGAAACTGAGGCAGAGCTGCTGCAATACTCTATCTGGCCATGAGGGGGCTCTGTGCCCCCCTCACTCGGGGACAAGGACTCCGTCCCAGCCTCTCCTCCTCCAGCAACATAAAGCCATTTACCGAGTACCTTGTCTGATCCCTCTGATCCCTGTTCTCCTGGGCCCAGCCACGCTGGGGCTCTGTTCTCCTCTCTCCATGCGCAGGGGCAGGGATGCTCACAGATGCCGCCGGTTCAGGACCCTGCCTGGCCTCTCAATCCTCCTTCCAAAGACAGCTCAGAGGAGGGAAGCCGCTGCCCCCTCCCACTCTCCTGGGGGCAGAGCTGTCGCTGAGAGCCCATCTGAGCTCTCGGAGGGCCGTGCCAGTCACAGGGCATCTCAGTCTCTCCCTGCCCGGGCCGGGGGTGGGGTTGTCAGGGTATGTGTATGGGGGGAGGGCTGGAGGAAAAGTCACAGGCCCCCCTTGCCTCCACATCTCTGAGATGATGCCACATTGGCCGTCTCGTGGGGCATCGCTCCCTGGAACGGCCCAGAACCAGAGTGGGGCAGAGGGCATAGGAGTGCAGCAGGGCACTCAGAGGGCAGACAGGCAGCAGCCCACATCTCACTGGGGATCCTTCCCACCCCTTGTCAGCGGCTGTGGGTCGGGAATGTTAATGCCATTGGCAGCACTCGTCCAGCCCCTTCAGCGGAGCATCCCCACGGGCCCTGGGCCTCGCACTGGCGGGAGGTTGGCCAGCTGTCCGCGTAGGGAAGGAAACCGAGTCAGGGAGGGCTGGAGCCATGTGCACGAGGTCCCACAAGCGGCCTTGTCTGTCCAGTGTTGAGTGTTAACCTTCCCGCTGGCAGGGACGGGGGGAGCCCGGTGCTTCCCCAGCGCTTTTCACAGCCTGCATTTCAGTGATGCTTTGCCTGACCTTCACAGGGGCCCTGTGTCCCAGAGGGCTGTATGGTAGGTCAGCATGGCCCCTGGCTAGCTGGGGTCGTGCCAGCAGCAAGCTGCTCGTCGGATGCCCCAGGGGCCGGTGGCCATTGTGGCAGCTGGAGCCATACAGCCGAGGAGGCTCAGTGTAATAGCTCCCATGCCAATGCCTCTGGCACCCCGACACAGCCCCCGCAGAGCTGGGAGCCACATGCTGGGGTCACAGATGTGACACACTGACCATGCCCACCCCGAGCCGGGGCCTTCCCCGCAGCTATGGCAGGCGTGTGAGGTGAACGCGGTGGGTACAGCCCTGGCCATGTGCCGTCGGGGCTGTTCTGTCACAGATCACCCGCTGGAGGAGCTGATGGGCATTGCATGTGTGCGTGTTGGGGGGAGGACTGGGTTGTCCTTCCTTGGGTCTCTTCTCTGTTTCATGCACCTGCTGGGCCCAATTCGCCCTGGGCATAAGCATGGTGCCCCCACCTGGCTTTCTTGGGTGGGAGCCAGCTCCTGGCAGGGCTGAACTGGCAGGGCTGAACTGGAGCCAGGAGGTGTATGAATCCGTGAGGGTCCAGGAATTTGTTTCTCCCGTGGCTGGGTTATTCCTTTTCTCACTCTTGCTCTGAACTTTCTGGGACTCTGGTTTTGCTCTGTCCTCTTCGCTGACTCTGCACTCGGCTGGGACTTTATCCCAGCATCGGGTGTGTCTCCTCTCATGTGCTGTGGCTGTTGTGTGGTACTCCCTCAGCCCATGTGTCAGGATAAAGGGCAGAGGGAATTGTAGGCACATGTCTGCTTTTTCCTT